AAATGAGATTTTTCTTCAACTCAGGAACATGCCTTACATTTTTCAATGTGTGTTTCTTTCCATTTGATTGTTTGATAACAACATTTTTAATGCACAAAATTTGCAAGCTCTATCATCATCAAGATAAACCAAGCCACCATCTACAATTGTGTAGGATGAAAAATATGACCTTTCTGGGCAAACATGAAATGAAACACCAGAGTTTAAAACCCAAGTATCTGCCATAGACAATGTCGTGCATGTAACACTAAAAGTAATCCCATCTTTACCATTTGAAACTGTACTTGCTTCGGCGTGGCCATCCTTACTCTTGGCCTTTTGTTTATTTTTAAGAGCATAACAATCTTTCCTTGTATGACCAGGTTTCTTGCAATACCAGCAAGTAACCTTCTTGTCCTGTGACATGGACCTACCTTTGCTATGATATTTACCCCTATTAAATTCATAGTGTTGATCTCTACGTTGGGTTCTTCCTCTATCTCCTGTTGCCAATGCTTGATTTGACTCAGCAAGCATTTGTGTGGATGCCTTTCTAGTCCTTTCATTCAACAATGAAGCCAGAACATCTTTCAAATTAAACTTGTTACTTATTGTATTAGTCACAGTGGTAACCAAGGTATCCCAACTAGCAGACAAAGAACTCAGCAAAAGCAAACATAAAACTTTTTCGTCCAAATTCACTTTCAAAGACCTCAATTGTACAAAAATTGAATTAAATTCACTCACATGCGATCTAATTGTAGCACCTTCTTTCATTTTCAAAAGGAATAAGTTTTTCATCACATGCATTTTATTTGCACTAGAGGGTTGCTCAAAAAGTTGCTCTAAAGATTGTCAAAGCTCTGCACATGTTTTACATTGACAAACATCAAATAAAATTGATGGTGAAATACATGGTCTAATGGCCGCCAAACATTTTCGATCAAGAATATTTCAGTGTCAATCTTCCATTCCATAAGGCATGGTCCCTTTTCCTCTAATTGGCCTATCTAATTCTTTTCCAACAACATAATCTTCCATCATTATTGTCCATATGGGCCAATTGCTTTGATTTAATTTTTCAAATTCCATTACACTTTCCATTTTAAGGGAAAATACAACAAATAATCACAATAGCAAAAACCTTTCCTTCACAGACACAATGAAGAACAAAACCTGGCTTTGATATCAATTGTTGTGATCGATTGGTGAAAAATCAGCAAGGGTTTATAATATTCACAGCTGTTGTGCATTTATATCAATATAAACAAACAATGAAAACTACACAATATCAAAGCAAAATCATGGAATGGAAAAATTCAGCAACATGCATTCACAAAGCACAACAATTTAATGTGGTTCGGTCACAAATCATGACCTACATCCACGGGAGAATGGCACGAGACTTTACTTACTGATTCGAGGAGAGTACAAGGTGAAATTGAGCTCAAACACCAATTTCAAGCAGCCCTTTCTCAGTTTAAGCAGAGCCCAAAAGCAGGGCACCAAGAACATCAAAAAATGGGTTCTCTTTGACACTCTCTCACTAAAACAGGGCATACAACAAACCCACGATGGGTGCAAGTTTTTCCTCACTTTCTCTCTCTAAAACAGAGCATACAACAACCCTCAAGAGAAAGCCCAATTGCCGCCTAATGTCTCTATGTTTTTCTTACTCTTTCTCTCTCTAAACAAAAGAGGTTTAATCCCTTTGAAATAGTAAAATTCCAACGCCACAACCATTGGATTAGATGCAATCCAATGACCTAAAATAAAAGAGAGAAAAGTCAAGTAAAACACCCATATGTGTGATTTGTTTCACACATGTAACATGTGTGATTTGTTTCACACATGTAACATGTTCTGTTCGAAAATTTGGCCGCCTAGCCTTGGCGAAATACACTAGCCTAGGTGGGCAGCCTAGGCAACAACATTGGCCTGGATACTTTAGTGGCCCCTAGAACCCTTGGCTAGAGGGAGGAAAAATGCCCTCCTCCAAGGCATTTTGGGCCAATTATACCCCTTGGGAAAGGGGTTTGGGTGCATTGCAACCCCTCATAATCAATTTTCCTCTCTACAAAGAGAGAAAAGCTAAAAAAAAAGGAAAAATGTTTATATAGAGTCAAGGCTCTGAACAATCAAATTAGACCTACTTCAAAAATTTCACTAGAAGAGGTGTCTTGATGCCCTAATATCCTCAAATTGATCATCACGACATCAAGATGCATGGACATGAGAAAAAAAGGATTTCAAGTTTTGAAAATAGTGCATCTTGTAGCACAATTTTGGACCATCAATTTTTCAAGATTTTCAAGTTTTTATATATCTACTTGATCTACACTATTTTTTAAGCTTTAAATTTTATAATTAAAGATGAAAATATATTTCAAAGTTATCACAAAGATTTCCAGTATTGAAACCACATTGCTTGACACTGTTTGAAGGTGCGATTTACTTTGATTGTTTAGAGCCTCGGCTCTATACAAACCGCACCCAAAAAAAAAATGAGGTTTGAGATTTATCTCAAGATTGAAGTTTTCTTTCGAACTTTTTGATTTTTTGCCAAATCAAAGAGTATTCAACCATATATATATTTTGTGGGTTGATGTGGTTGTGAAAGATGACTTTTGGCAACCAACGGTGACCTATTTGAGCCAAGATCTATTGCATCTTGAAAGGTTAGTATGTTTAAACCTTTTGTTTAGGGTTTGTTGATTTATATGAATGTTGGGTTTAATTATTTATTTATTTTTGCTTGTGTTGTTTTTGTTGATGAAAATTTTTCCAGGTTTGCGTATGGATTTTTCCAAATTTATGCTTGTAGAATATTGATTTTGAGAACTGGGTATCTTTTGATCTTTTATAGTTTTAGATATGGAAAAAGCTTATATAAGGTTGCAACATTAAAATGTAGAATTATAGATGCACCTCAAAAATCCATCGGAAAAGGTTGTTTTAATGTTGAAAAAACCTCTAATTTATCATCTTGACATCGAGATGTATGAATATGAAAGAAAACAAAGATTTTGAGTCCCAGAAATAGTGCATTTTGCAATACTTCTAGACCGTCAATTTTCAAGATTTTTATATGTTTTTAGATCTGCTTGATTTTAACCATTTTTTTAGTGTAAAATTTTATAATTAGATGTGAGAATAGATTTTGAGATAATACTAAGAATTTTTTCATCAAAATTACATAGTATGATGAAATTTGGAGGTGCTCCTTAATTGGATTGTTTAAGGTTGCAACCTTATAGAAACCACACCCTTTATATATATATATATATATATATATATGGGCAGTGATTTCGTACAACTGTTGTATCATAGTATAATGCGACCACACTTCTAGAAAACCATGTTTGTGGTATTTGTATGACCCAAAATTTTGCACACATTCTAAAAAAAAAAAAAAAAATTTTGCACCTTATACGATCAAAATGAGTCCCCGCCAACAATAAATATAGGCCGTCCATTTGATGAATTTCAAGATCTAGGCTTTTATGAATTCAAAATCATTGTTTTTAATATTGTTAATCTAATGATAATAAAACTATCTAAAAAATTTGGAAAGAAAAAGATTATTCTAAGGTCTAGATCTAAGCATCTCACCAAAATGGACGATCTAAATTAATTGGGGTAAAAAAATACCTTCTAGGTTGTGTTTTAATTTTTATGTTTTTTGTGATTGTTCATTAGAATGAAAATAGTGTATATTTTAAAATTTGGGTCAAACAAATGGCCCTAACATGGTTTGTGAAGGTTGTATTTTATTACTTTACAATTGTTGTATGAGAGGAGAGAGAACATACTTCTTATGAACAGAGAGAGGCAACCATGTTCATAGAGAGACAGAAAGGATGCCATGCTATATCCTTTTTTTATTTCTTCATTTTCTTTGTGGTGTTGTTTAGAGGGGTCCTCGAGCGTCCACCTAGCTTGTGGGTTTTGCTATGTGGATCTACATTAATAACTCGTGTAGCTGTTATATTCTGTCTTTCACTAGCAATTGTCCTTTAACATGTTCATATATAAGAAAAGAAAAAAAAGGTCAACTCCATTCTGAGGCATAATACTTGGTTTGTTTGTTCCTATTTCCATTGCATAGTTGGTCTGAAACCAATAAAAATAGAGTAGATGACTAGTAGATCGTAAGGTCTGCATTGTACAGATCCAAAGAATTTTAGAAAAAAATTCTGAACTTCACTTAAGAAGGAGCAAAATGACAAAGAGGTGCCACACAAACTCTATAGCCTATCTGCACAACAAGCATTCAACGACTAAAATCCATTAGCTTAGGGATAATCTCCTTTTAGAAATCTTTTTGTTTTGTTGCCATCCACCTAAATCATGCAATTTATGTAACTGGGATGTCTGAAATGAAGAAGCCCAGGAATATCCCTTCACCTTGACACAAATGGCTAAGTAAGCCTGACTGAGAACATACCTGCACTATCTAACTTTCAGATGCTTGTATCGACACCAGTTTTGGGGATATTCTTGGCGTCTAAGCTGTAATTAGTAACCAGCCCAACTCATCAACCGCCATAACCATCATTGATCTTTTTCTGTTTTTTAATCTTCTCCTCGCTTCCTTTTCTTTCTTGGTATGCATGGAAGACGAGCCTGTAGCCTAGGGTGTGAGAGGAAGTGATCTAGCTAATTAGTGTACACAACAACAATTTTAACATGTGGCGCAATGTTTGCAGCTTTTGTTCTCACATATAAGATTGTGCATTCAAATAACTGGCATACCTGGGAAACATACTGGGCTCATGCTTGTGATAATCTTTTGGGCATTATGAGATTGTAACTTGTTCATACAGTACATGTATCGCCAAATTTATTGCATTGAGAAGTGCAAATGAGTCGTTGGAGCTGTTTGCAAAGTTCCTTTTTTGGGCATGAATGGTTATCTGCTTACTTGTTATTACATTGTTATAATAATATTTTCTGCAAATGTCTATGAAAAAAATGAATGTTATTAAGGTTGAAGGTTTACTGTTGTTTTCTCAACATAGGTTTATTGTGACAAGTAATGGATCTGGTCATTATGTTTCTGGGCAAAGGTAAGTTGCCACTTCTAATCATCTGTTGGATATGCAATCCCAGTTTTGGGATGGGTTTACATGCATACATCCGTAATACGAAAACACATGCACACACTGACACAAATACAAAACACACACTTATATATATATATATATATATATATGCAGGTGTGTTTGTATGTAGACAAACTTAGGATTTCTTTTTGTAACCATGTGTTTTGCTGTGTGTGTGTGCATGTGTGTACAAGGTTGAAAATTTCTGCAAATGCCTGAAGACTTACAGAGGACATGAATAGAGTCGACAATCAAAACAGATAACAGTAGGGACTGTATACTATGAGGCCATTTAAAAGTGTCTCAAGGAGGACACAACTACTTCTAGCTATTAAATGTCAAATTGGATGGCTTGGGTTGTGCCACAGATCGAGAATGTTTTTTTAGAACTTTGAGTCTAGTCAATGACATACATACAACCACCCGATTTGAAATCTGACGAACAATAGTAATTGTGATCTTCTTGTACTAAAAGTATATGGTCTGTTTGTATACTTTTCCATAACAATATGAACCCTAATTTCTAGAGATAGTGATCATAGGAACGTTTTTGATGCAGATGGTTAAAAATACTTATGTTTTGTCTAGATATAGTGCACCCACTTGAGAGGTTGCAAATGAATGCATTAATCATGTAGATATTGGGAAGCATGTTGAAAGAACCTTTTTTATCACTATACTCAATGTTATCTTTGCATGCAAGTTGAAAGAACCTTTTTTATCACTATACTCAATGTTATCTTTGTAGTTTTAGGTTTCCTTCTAATACCTCTGTGATTCGGTTTAGAGAGGAAAAAAAAGAAAATCGACTTGAATTTATTCTTGATAGCTGAAAGCAGAGTTGATTGTGAAAATAATGTATATGCATCCACATTTCTTTTAATTTCATATCTTTATCTTGCTTTGAATTGAGAGATGGAAACTTTAAAATTCACTGGTAATTTGAAACCAAGGATCCTTTTGAAATTTACATACATTTCTTGTTCCGCGTCCTTCTCTTCTAGAACTTAGAGAAATTTATGCTAATATCCCCAAATTAGCATTATTAAAGAAATCCCTGAT